TGGTGGCAGCGGACCAGATCTAAGCTGGTAGTTAAGCTTAGCAGTTTTCATGCAGGCCCCCACATTTGTACCCTAAAGTTCAGAGTGGGGAAGCAGCCTTGACAGGGAGAATCTGTAATTCTCCCTGGCTTACTTCAGCAAAAATGGAGACCCTGCTATGTATTCCTTTCAACCCCAGTGATATGTTTCCTCACTACATTTCCAAGGCTGTCTTTACAGGAAAAGGGATAAAAATGCACTTTTGTTTTTAGAATGAAAACAGATAGATATTCTCCTTTCCAGGGAGACTCATCATAGGTAGCACATCCCTGTCTCTCAGAGAGGATAAACTCATTAGTGATTATCAGGTGCTCAGATTTTGCAGTAAGGCAAGGGAGGAAGTCAGTATCTAAACTGATCATCACTGAATATTAATGTTATATCTGACAATGTCACTGTTCTGGCCAAGGAACTGATCTGGAAAAGTCCAATATTCTGTAGCATAAAACTGGAAACCCGCACCTTAATCCACAGGATAAAGACCCCTAAATCATTACTGTTCACCAGTGGTTCTCAATCAGGGGTATGCATACCCCTGGGGGTGGGCAGAGGTCTTCCGGGGGTACATCAACTCATCTAGATATTTGCCCAGTTTTACAACAGGCTACAGAAAAAGCACCAGTGAAGTCAGTACAAAGTAAAATTTCATAGACAATGACTTATTTATACTGCTCTGTATACTATACACTGAAATGCAAGTACAATATTTATATTCCAATTGATTTTATAATTATATGTTAAAATGAAAAAGAAAGCAATTTTTCAGTAATAGTGTGCTGTGACAGTTCTGTATTTTAGGTCTGTTTTTGTAAGCAAGTAATTTTTAAGTGAGGTGAAACTTGGGAATACACAGGACAGATCAGACTCCTGAAAAGGGTACAGTAATCTGGAAGGTTGAGAGCCACTGCTGTACACCATTTGTGAATATTTTCTTACCAGTCCTAACTTATTACACTAAATGAGAGAACTCATGTTTTTTTTGTGTACTGCACTACTAAATTTTAAATGTTCAGAGTGATAAACATATAGCATAATGTTTAGGGACTTCTCTACAGCTCATCATAAACATTGGTTAAACAAATGAATGCAGAAAAAATGATCAAACTCCTACATATTGTTTAATGGATAATTCGGCATCCATGTGCCTAAAAAACAAACAAACACCCAATAAGCTGACAAAAGCACAAAGACGGGATCTTATTACACTGTGACAGCATCAGAAAACAAGTTGGTCAGCATAAAGAGAAAGGGTGCTCCAGACTAGTCACGATGAAGGAAAGAAAAAGAATGTATTCGTCCTCCCCCCAATAGGGAAAGAAAACAAACGCACACCAAACCTTTAAATAAAGGCATAAATATCTTAGCCTCTAAGCTTCCTCCATTTCTTGATCCTGCTTCCTGTGTCTCAGGGTCTCATTTGCTAACTTATTGTACCTATGGATCCAGCAGGGCATGACTAATCTGGCTCTTTCAATTATTAGTATCCCAGCAAACACCAATATTATCTTTTGCACAGGAGTGTACATTTGTTTTTTTGTTAGTTAGTTTTTTGTCCTCCTCCTAGTTTTCTGGGTGGGAACAAACACTGCAGTGAGTAACAAAAAGAAAGGAAGAATTTACCACCATATACCTTTCATTCATAACACATTCTCTCTCACCACACAAAACGAGGAAAGCCAAAACGGGGGAAAGAACCACATCGCAAAGGGGAGGGGGGGAAATAATCCCCCAAAGAAACAAGCCATCCTGTTACAGAGAGGAACTAAACAACTGGCTCAGTTAGCCAGGCCAAGCACTGCTACTCTCGGTAGCACAAGAATTATAGTTTAAGCAAAGTTAGGGCAGAGGCTTGATCCTTCTGAAAAGTTCTTCCCAGCTATACAAACCAATAGTAGGCTTGGCTCTGACTGAGGAAGTTAGGTGGACAAAGCTTAAGATTGGAACCCAGCAGCATAGTAGAGGCTGGGCAAATAGACTTTCCACTTAATATGGTAAATCTCATACTACAAAAGTAATAATGGAAACAAAAAAGTACTCCTTATGATTACCATTATTACAAATAGCATCCTTGCAAGTATACGCTAATCTTCTCTCTCTGGATACTTACATTCAAAGATAATTCCTGCTCTGTCTTGTCTAGTCTGCACTAGACATCTTTTAAAAGTACAACTGATAAGTTCTCTTACCATGACGAAACTTTGAATATATGCAGACTCTCCACTTCTTGCTGCTCAGAATCAGCTACATGCACAAACCTTCCAAGAGGGAGAGGGGGGAAAAAACCACAATCCACTTTTTTAAAGCATGTTAACCTTCACTTACTCCCCACCTCATTTCTGTGGGACACATTACAAGGTAACCGCTGTCACAGCCTGGTATGCTCTATTTAATGACAAGAATAGGATCCCTGCTCCGGCAAATCCTTCCACACCACTTTTGACTGCTTCTTTAGAACTGCAGAATGCTCATAGGCATTGGTGAGGCAAACTCTCTCTGCAGTATCTGAAGATATCTTTTCAGTGTCCAATCAATAGACATTTTGAGTGTCTATTACTATTTATAGATGCTGTTCAGAATTTATCCAAGTACTTTCAGATTTGTAGTTTAAATCTCTTACAATGCAGTTGATTTCTGTCTTTTTTCAACAGTCCTTCACTTCCATTATAACTGATTATGTTACAACCATAAAATCTTCATGTTTTCCCGCAACAGCCTGAAGAAAAATATGACCTCCAAGCAGACCACTGAATATACTGGGGACTTTTGTATGTTTCTTTACTGACGCAGATAGGGATTCATCTTATGAATTAATAAGTAGCTATTGAAAGTATTATAGCAGGGAAACACATTAATCTGCACAACAATCACTCACTTATTGCCACAGATTGCATTTTCTGTAGACGATCAAATACACAGATATACAAAAGGTCCAGGACCGCGAGACACTGTCTGAATAGTTAAAAGACAAACATGCTGTGGATGTATAATTGAAAT